CTCCCGCGATCCTTCTGCCTCAGCCTTCCAAGTAGCTGGAACTACAGGCGCGCGCTACCATGCCCGGCTAATTTTTCTGATTTATTGTAGAGATCAGGTCTGGCCAAGTTGCCCGGGCAGGTCTCGAACCCGCGGGCTCAGGCAATCCACTCACCTCGGTCTCCCCAAGGGCTGGGACTACAGGCTGAGCCACTGAGCCCGGCCCATCCCCTGTCTTTAATTCGTCTCATTATTTCATTCATTCTGCCATGCACTCAAGAAACATTAAACTGGGCAGGGACAGTGGCTCCTGCCTGTCATCCCAGCCCTTTGGTAAAGCGAGGCAGGAGAATTGCTTGAGCCCACGCATTCAAGACCAGCCTGGACAACATAACGAGATCTTGTCTCTACCAAAAAATCAAAACTATGAGCCAGACAAGGTGATGCACCCCTGAAGTCCCAGCTACTTGGGAGGCTGAGGCCAAAGGATCGCTTGAGCCCAGGAGGTTGAGACTGCTGGCCAGCCTGGGTGATGAAGCGAGACCCCGAGTCTGAAAAAATAAAAAATCAAATAAATAAATAAATAAATAAAGTTTTCTAGACTTCACTTCTCCACCAGCTATGTCTGGTACCTCCGCTCACCTCTACAACAAAATTCCTTGAAATAGCCATCTACACTAGATACTTCCCACTTCTTCCCTCCCCTTCTCTTCTTAAATTCCTCTAGCCGCTGGGCTCGGTGGCTCAGCCTGTAATCCCACACTTTGGGAGGCTGAGGTGAGTGAATTGCCTGAGCCTGCGGGTTCGAGACCCGCCTGGGCAACTTGGCGAGACCTCATCTCTACAATAAATAAAAAAAAAAAAATCAGCCAGGCGTGGTAGCACACGCCTGTAGTTCCAGCTACTTGGAAGGCTGAGGCAGAAGGATCGCCGGAGCCCAGCAGGTCAAGGCTGCAGTGGCCGGGAGAAGCCACTGCACTCCAGGCTGGGTGACATCGTGAGACTCCAACTCAAAAAAAAAAAAAAAATTCCTCTAGCCAGTCTTTCACCCCCACACTCCACTCAACTCTTCTTGCTGAGACTATCAATAACCTCAGGGCTGCTGGTCCTGATGGTTGTCCTCAGTCCTCCTTTTACCAGCCTCTGGGTGGCACCTGACCTGGCAGACCACACCTTCCTGGGTACAGCTTCTTCACTTACGTTGGAGAGAACGTACTCTTCTGGCTTTCCTTCTGCCTTTTCCTTTCCTCGCCAACAGTTCTTTTTTTTTTGAGTCAGAGTCTCACTCTGCCACCAAGGCTGAAGTGCAGTGACATGATCACAGCTCACTGCATCCATGAACTCCTGGGCTCAGGTGATCCCTGTGCCTCAGCTTCCTGAGTAGCTGGGACTACAGGCACATGCCATCATGCTTGCCTTTTTTTTTTTTTTTTTTTTGTAGAGATGAGGTCTCACTATGTTGCCCAGGCTGGTCTCAAACTCTTGGCCTCAAATAATCTTCCAGTCTCAGCCTCCTAAAGTGTTGGGATCACAGGTGTGAACCACTGTGCCTGGCCTCCGATTAAAGCGACCACAATAGAGTGGGCCTCTTATCTTTTCTGTCCAGTCTCATGGTTTCAAACACCATCTGTAAGCAAGTAATGCCCAGTTTTTTAAATCTCCCGCTTAGCCCTTTTAAAAAAACTCCAAACTCAGGGCTGGGAGTGATGGCTCATACCTGTAATCTCAGCACTTTGGGAAGCTGAGGAGAAAGAATCACTTAATGCCAGGAGTTTGAAGTTAAAGTGAGCTATGATCACACTACTGCATTTGAGTCTGAGCAATAGAGTGAGAACTAGCTGTTTAAAAAAATTAAAAATAAAAAAAAGGCGGGCACTTTGGCTCATGCCTGTAATCTCAGCACTTTGGGAGGCAGAGGTGAGAGGATTGCCTGAGACCAGGGATTCAAGACCAGCCTGGGCAACTTGGCAAGGCCTTGTCTGTACAATAAATTTAAAAATTAGCAAGTCATGCAGGTGCATGCCTGTGATTCCAGCTACTTGGAAGGCTGAGGCAGAAGGATCCTTGAGTCCAACAGGTCAAGGCTGTGGTGGCCATGAGTGTGTCACTGCACTCTAGCCTGGATGACAGAGTAAGACTCCAACTCAAAAAAAACAAAAACAAAAACAAAAAAACCCATGATTTTTTGGAGGTCAGTCTCATTCTAGTACAGACTTCTCCCACTAGGTATGTGTTCTAGGCACCCATTGGCATCCATCTACCAGCTAGCATTGTTATGAGAGGCTGCATTCCACTTCAGTGAATTTTTTTAGAGATTTCTTTCAACGCACCTGCCCATTTCACAATGGGTGATTTATGAGTACACCTGCCCACACCACACTGAGTGTTGAGCAGTTTTTTGTTTGTTTGTATCACAGAGGGGTGAGAAAGCAGGAAAAGAAGACAGAAAAGGTCCCGCAGCAGGAGGGGGACCCGAAAGAGAGTTGTCCTGTTCAGCAGTTTTTGACCAAAAATCTCATGGCCCTGTGCCCCACCCTCCCTATTCACCCAATCTCCCCCCAAGGGACTTTTTTTTTTTGTTTCCCCAGATATAAAAAGTCCCCAAAGGGAAATGTTTTCCCCATGTGGAAGAGGTGAAACAAAAAATAGCAGAAGCACCAAAAGGTGTCAAAATGGACAAGTTCAAAAACTGTTTTGGGCAGTGGAAAAAGTGTTTCGATAGGTATATTACATCAAACAGAAAGTCCTTTGAAGGTGACTGAAGCTTGAACATGTAAGAATAAATACACAATTCTTTTTTTGTGTGTGAGTTGGAGTCTCACTCCATCGCCCAGGCTGGAGTGCAGTGACACACATGCTCAAGGCCACTCCAGCGTCGGCCTGTTGGGCTCAGGCAATCAATCCTTTCACCTCAGCCTTCCAAGTAGCCAGAACTATAGGCACATGCTACCACGCCCGGCTAATTTTTTTATTTATCATAGAGGTGAGGTCTCACCAAGTTGTCCAGGCTGTTCTTGAACCCGTGGGCTCAGGCAGTCCCCTCACCTCTGCCTCCCAAAGTGCTGAGATGACAGGCTTGAGCCGCCACACCCACAATTCTTAACAAATAAATTTATTCACAATAGCAAAAATTCTTAAATAAATTCATTCACAATAGCAAAAATATGGAGCCAACCATGCTATCCATCAAAGCTGAACTAGATTTTTAAAATGTGGTACATATACACAATGGAATATTATGCAGCCATAAAGAAGAACAAACATATGGACTTCACAGCAACTTGGATGGATTTAGAGTCGATCATACTCAGTGATCTATCACAGAAACAAAGAAAAGAGTACCATATGTTCTCACTCATAAGTGGACCTTAAACAATTATAATACTATAAAAAAGGAATTGGCAGTAATGGGAAACTGCCAGGGGAGGGGGGATGGATTGGCAGTTGAGGGAAACTGCTAGGGGAAGGAGGGGCACACCTCATCAACCAGGGTACATGTATAATCATTGTTTGTATACCTAACCCTGAATTGTACCTTACATCTTCATAAAAAAACAAAAACAGCTGGGCTCGGTGGCTCAGCCTGTAATCCCAGCACTTTGGGAGGCTGAGGTGAGTGGATTGCCTGAGCCCGCGGGTTCGAAACCCGACTGGGCAACTTGGCGAGACCTCATCTCTACAATAAAGCAAAATGAGCCAGGCGTAGCAGCGCGCGCCTGTAGTTCCAGCTACTTGGAAGGCTGAGGAAGGATCGCTGGAGCCCAGCAGGTCGAGGCTGCGGTGGCCGGGAGCGGCCACTGCACTCCAGTCTGGGCGACAGAGTGAGACTCCAACTCAAAAAAAAAAAAAAAAGTTCTGGGGTTTTTTTGGTTTCCCTCATAAAAGCCAAAGCCCTTCCAAGGACCTACACACTTTTTAATCCCTTCCTCTCCCCTTGCCCACTCTGACAGCCATGCCAGCCTTGTCTCTTCTGACCAGGCAGACACACTCCTGTATTCAGGCATCTGCACTGTTTCCTGAAGGTTCTTCCCTAGATATGCATATGGTCGAATCCCTATAAAAAATCACCTTCTTAATAAGACCTACCCTGGCAGACCCTGTTTAAAATGATGCCCCATCCTCACCCCAAGCCCTCCTTATTTCCTACAGCCTGCTCAGTTTTGTTTTATAACACTTACTATCTGCTGACATATATACATATTTATAATGTGTATTGTCTAGGAAGAAAGAAATTATCTAAGAATCCTGCTGTGGACACATTGAACAAGGGCTGACAAAGGAAGACAGTGAGGAAAATGAAGGGTGGGATGAAGTATGAGCTGGGAGAGGATACCGCATCATAGAACACTGTTTAGGGATTAATATCCAGAATACATTTTTTAAAAAAACACCTTTGCGCTTGGCATGGTAGCTGGCTCACACCTGTAATTCCAGCACTTTGGAAGGCAGAGGTGAGAGGATTGCCTGAGCCCACAGGTTTGAGACCAGCCTGGGCAATGTGGCAAGACCTCGTCTCTACAATAAATAAAACATTAGCTGAGCATGATGGCACAGGCCTGTAGTTCTAGTTACTTGTAAGGCTGAAGTGGAAGGATTGCCTGAGCTCAGCAGGTCAAGGCTGCGGTGGCCGTGAGTATGCCACTGCACTCCAGCCTGGGTGACAGTGAGACTGCGACTCCAAAAAACAAAACAAAACCTCTTTGACCAGGCCCAGTGGCTCATGCCTATAATCCCAACACTTTTATTTTGTTTATTTATTTTTTTTATTTTGAGTTGAAGTCTCACTCTGTCACTCAGACTGGAGTGCAGTGGCCACTCCCGGCCACTGCAGCCTCGCCCTGCTGTGCTCTGGTGAGCCTTCCACCTCAGCCTTCCAAGTAGCTGGAACTACAGGTGTGCACTACCACACCCAGCTATATCCCAACACTTTTATTTATTTTTTTTATTTTTATTTTTTTCATGTTAGCAGTTTTTAATGGAAGTTGTCTATAAGATTACGTTATTCTCGCATCTTCCCAATGGTTTCTACTTTGTATTTGCCTTTTTCTTTTCCTACTTGGCAAGATTTGGCTTTCCGTTCAAGGATCTTTTTGCAGTCTTTGTCCAGTTTAAGCCTGGTGATAACCATCTTGCTGGGGTGAAGGCCCACATGGACAGTTGTGTCATTTGCCTTTTCTTGCTGCACCCGTTCAATGTAGATGACATATGTTTTCCCGTAGACCTGGACTGCTTTGCCACTTTGCTGACCTTCATAGTGTCCTCGCACAACCTGAACTTCATCATCCCTCCAGATGGGCATGGATCGAACATTGTACTTCTGTCTCAGCTCTTTGGAGAGAGAGGAAGACATAATCTTCCTGCGAATGTGGGAAGGTGCACTGAAATGCCTTTTGCGGTTCTTGCTTCGGTCTGAAGTCACAAAGGGATTGAACTTCATTTTGGCCGCAGCCCCTTTGGCGATGGCCGCAAAAAGAGAAAGATCTATCCCAACACTTTTAGAGGCTGAGGTGGGAGGATCACTTGAGCCCAGGAGCTCAAGGCCAGCCTCAGCAACAAAACAAGACCTCATCTTTACAAAAAATTGAAAACTGCCAGGTGTGGTGGCACACATCTGTAGTTCCAGCTATTCAGGAGGCTAAGGCAGAAGGACCATTTGAGCCCAGAAGGTAGCAGTTGCAGTGAGCTATGATTATACCTGTGAATAACCACTGCAGTCCTGGGTAACCCTGTCTCTAAGTGGTAAAAGAGAACAACTTCAAATCAATTACTTAAAAAAAAAAAAAAAAAAGGAGGCCGGGTGTGGTGGCTCAAGCCTGTAATCCCAGCACTTTGGGAGGCCAAGGTGAGGAGATTGCCTGAGCCCAGAGGTTTGAGAACAGCCTGGGCAACTTGGCGGGACCTCATTTATACAATGAATCAAAAAATTAGCCGGGCGTGGTAACATGTGCCTGTAGTTCTGGCTACGTGGAAGGCTTAGGCGGAAGGACTGCCTGAGCCTAGCAGGTAGACACTGGGGTGGCCGTGAGTGTGCCACTGCACTCCAGCCTAGACAACAGATTGAGACTCCGACTCAAAAAAAAAAGCAAACAATCTGTATTAGTTTTGTATTACAGCTATAACAAATTACCACAAACTTAGTGACTTATGACAACACAAATTTGTCATCTTATAGTACTGGAGACGAGAAATCCAAAATGAGTCTCACTGGGCTAAAATTAAAATGTCGACAGGGCTGTGTTCTCTCTTCAGGAAAAAATTATTTTCCTTGCTTCTCCCAGCTTTCTGGAGCCTGCCCGTGTTCCTTGGTTCTTGGCCCCCTTTCATCTTCAAAGTCAGCACTCACATCAGTGGAACTTCTGCTTCCATGACTCTTCTGTCTTCCTTATTCACTTATAAGGACTCTTGTGGTTACATGGGACCCACCGGGATAACCTCCCATCTCAAGATCCTCAATCACACCTGCAAAGTCCTCTTTGTCCTGTAAGGTATCCCTGGCACAAGTTCTAGGTGAGCAACTTTGGGAGGACATTATTCTACTTACCACACAATCCAATAGAAAAATAGACCAAAATAGCCGCTCCAGTTGCAGCCATTATGGTGGGGAAGAAGTATTTCTTTCTTTCTATTTGTTTTTTTTTGTGTCGGAGTCGCACTCTGTAACCCAGGCTGGAGTGCAACGGCACGCTCACGGCTACCGCAGCCTCCGGCGATCCTTCCGCCTCAGCCTTTCAAGTAGCTGGAACTACAGGCAGGCGCCACCATGCCCGGCTAATTTTTTGATTTATTGTAGAGATGAGTTCTCAAGTTGCCCAGGCTGGTCTCGAACCCATGAGCTCAGGCAATCCTCCTGTCTCGGTCTCCCAAAGTGCTGGGATTACAGGCTTGAGCCACACGCCCAGCAGAAGTATTTCATAGAAGAGGAAACACGTATGAAATTGATATTGATGAGCAAGTATGCAAATTAAAGTTACAGTTAAATGCCATCACACATGCATCAGATTAGCAAAAGTTTCAAACTAAAAACCAAGCGGTGAGAGTGAAGAGCAAAGGGAACCCTCATGCACTGCCAGAGGAGTACAAATTGGTACAACAATCTGGAAAACAATCTGGCACTATCTAGTAAGGTTGAACATGCAAATACTTTATAAGTTCACCTGGTGTACAAGTACACTAGAAACAACTGCCTATATGCCCCAGGAGACATGTACAAGATGTTCATGGCAGTGCTGCTAGAAATAGTCCCTCTAGGGAAGTGGATTCATGAATTAGAGTCAAACAGTGAAATATTACAAAACAGGGGGGAAAAAAACCATGATAGCTATATGGAACAAACTCCATACAGTGTGATGTCTTTTTAAATTTATTTTTATTTATTTATTTTTTTGAGTTGGAGTCTCACTCTGTCGCCCAGACTGGAGTGCAGTGGCTGCTCCCGGCCACCACAACCTCGACCTACTGGGCTCCGGCGATCCTTCCGCCTCAGCCTTCCGAGTAGCCGGAATTACAGGCATGCGCTACCACACCCGGCTGATTTTTTGATTTATTGTAGAGATGAAGTCTCGCTGCCCAGGTGGGTCTCGAACCCACGGACTCAGGCAGTCCACTCACCTCAGCCTCCCAAGGGCATGGGATTACAGGCTGAGCCACCGAGCCCAGCTCCAATTCTGCATTTTCAACAAGCTCTTTGTTGGTCCCCAGCCTACACTTTGAGTAAAAACGTTCTATGGTATATCTAGGGATGCATGTATCATGTCAAAACTATTTATTTTTTAATAAAAGGAAATATACACACAATTCAGGAAAGAGACCTTTACCTCTGGGGGAAGGAACGGCTGGAATAGGTAGATGAGATGGTGCTGATGTGTTCTTTTGTTTTGTTTTGTTTTGAGTTGGAGTCTTACTATATCACCCAGGCCGGAGTGCAGTGGCACACTCATGGCCACCCCAGTGTCGACTTGCTGGGCTCCAGCAATCCTTCCGCCGCAGTCTTCCAAGTAGCTGGAACTACAGGTCTGCACTACCATGCCCACTTAATTTTTGTTTTATTGTAGAGATGAGGGCTTGCCAAATTGCCCGGGCTGGTCTTGAACCCGTGAGCTCAGGCAATCCACTCGCCTCGGCCTCCCAAAGTGCTGGGATTACAGGCTGCGCCACCCATCTGGGACCTGATGTGTTCTTAAACTGGTTGTTAGATTCATGAATATTCATTATACTTTATAACTTACATGTCACATTTATTATTTTCCAGGCATCAAGTGTTGTTATTTTAAAAGACAATGAAAAGTATAATAAAACAAAATGATCACCGAGGAAGCTAGGTGGCGTCACAGGCCTGGGCAAAAAGGGTTAGGCTTGTAGCCCTACACACAAGATGAAATTTACAAACTTAACTAGCCGAAACACCATTAAGTTCCTTAACTGGATACTTAGTGGTCAGCAATCCACCACATTAGGTTAATTCACTTCAGCTCAGACTTTTTTTTTTTTTTTGAGTTAGAGTCTCACCTTTTTTTTTTTTGAGTTAGAGTCTCACTTACAGTCCAAGTCTAAAAATTCCAAACTCACCTTTCTCCTTAACACCTCCTCTTGGGTGAGTAATAGAAATCTCTAGCCCAACATGTCCAAAATTTAATGTACGACCTTGCCCCCCAACCTGTTCTACCTGCAGCTTTCCCTATCTTTCCCTATCTTATCTCAGGTCATGGTGACATTCTTCCAGTAGCTCAGGCTTTCAGTTTTCTGGAACTTGCTGAGTTTTATGGATCACCTGACACTTCTGTTGGCAATACAGATTTCCAGGTGGCTCCCCTGTAGATCCCGAGATTGAGTCTAGGAAGCGGCCAGGGAGTATTTCACAGGTTCAGTAACGACCAGCCCCACCTGACGAGAAG